TTTTCAAGATCGTCCATTACTTTTATCGATTTTATCGATTTTTTGCAAAGTTTGAGCTAGGGGGCTGGGAGTTGGCACAGGAGGGTAATCGAGCATGGGGGGTGATCAGCATGCTCGATTACACCCTGTGCCAAATTCCAGCCCCTAGCTCAAATTTTCAAAAAATCGATAAAATCGATAAAAGTAATGGACGATCTTGAAAACTAATATTGTATTCGTAATCTGCATGCTCGATTACCCCCCTGTGCAAGCTCCCAGCCCCGCAGGTCAAACTTTACAAAAAAATCGATAAAATCGATAAAAGTAATGGACGATTCTGAAAACTAATATTGTGTTCGTAATCAGCATGCTCGATTACCCCCCTGTGCAAAATCCCAGCCTCGCATGTCATAATTTACAAAAAATCGAGAAAATCAATAAAAGTAACCGATAATTCTGAAGACTAATATTGTATTCGGAATCCCCATGCTCACTTCCCCCCTGTGCCAACTCCTAGCCCTGTAGGTGAACTCTGCGAAAAAATCGATAAAAATCGGTAAAATCGACATCGATCGATAACGAAAAGTGGACTGTGACACCCGCCGGGGCCCGAAGTGTATGTGTGCCAAGTTTGATCCGGATACGGCGGAGCCGGGTAAGCCAGCTAGTCTTATATATAAAGCTGAATGTCTGTTTGCCTGTCTGTCTGTCTGTATGTATGTATGTCTGTCTGTACGTATGTTCCGAATAGAAAATTCCATTTCTGTACCGATCCGGACCAAACTTGGCACACATACACTTCGGGCCCCGGCGGGTGTCATAGGCTACTTTTCGTCATCGATCGATATCGATTTTATCGATTTTTATCGATTTTTTTTGCAGAGTTCACCTACGGGGCTGGGAGTTGGCACAGGGGGGGGGGTAAGCGAGCATGGGGATTCCAAATATTAGGTTGGTAAGAAAGTTCTCGGACATTGCCTTCACATAAAGATTTTGCTTCGACGCAAGCACCAAATAGGGCATGCTATACATCATTCGATAGAGGAAAGCAAACCTACAAGACAATACTAATCACAACCATGACTAATGAATCCTGTGAAAATAGGGCGAACATTCGCAGACATAGGATTTCGACAGAGCTCGGAACTCCACCTTCCGTAAACACTGCAACACTCACATATAGCCCAATATATAGTAGACATGAACTCACATACATATATGCAAAGTCTGTACGGAATTTGAGCTTAATTAGCAGGAAAAATGAGGTAATCGAGAAGTGGCAAACTCCGCCCCTATTGACCCTAAGCTCCTCACACCTGCACAGGTATAAGCTGTGTATATGTGAGAGTACAACTACAAATTTTCTCGTTTGTAGATGCATTACAACCCGAGAAATAGCAATCATAGCGTGAAAATGTCCGAAAACTTTCTTACCAACCTAATACAATATTAGTTTTCAGGATTATCGATTACTTTTATCGATTTTTTTGCAAAGGAGCCACGGGGCTGGGAGTTTGCACAGGGGGTAATCGAGCATGCTGATTACGAATACAATATTAGTTTTTGAAATTGTCCATTGCTTTTATCGATTTTATCGATTTTTTGCAAAGTTTGAGCTACGGGGCTGGGAGTTTGCGTAGGGGGGTAATCGAGCATGCTGATTACGAATACTATATTAGTTTTTGAAATTGTCCATTGCCTTTATCGATTTTATCGATTTTTTGCAAAGTTTGAGTTACAGGGCTGGGAGTTGGTACAGGAGGGGTAAGTGGGCATGCTGATTTCGAAAACAACACAGGGAACAGCAAATGAAGTGTGGAAGTGGGCACAGGAAAAGGCTGTACAGGAATAGGGATGGGGCCTTTATTACAGTGTTTTCACAGGGCCGGGCGGAGCCGGGTAAGCAAGCTAGTATCAAAATATAAAACATTTACCACACTTGAAGCAGTCGTTTTTTCGAAAAAGATTCATCCTGCATTTTTTGCTTCAAAATGTAGGAAAAGTTATAACGTATGTAAAAACTGCCTTTTTACCAAATTCTCAAGCATTTGTTGGACTCGAATGAAGATCCTAGGCTTCGCCGAGCCTTTGTAATGGAAATGGTGAAAAGCGCAGGAGTCAACATGGCGTAGTCGCTGATACTGATAAACGAGCCCCAACCTCACCCCCAGGTAGACGAGTTTTCGAACAGCAGAAATTGAGTTTTAATACCCGAAAAGCTCTGTCACGTGCTCAGCACGTCGCCTGTACAATGACAGATTCGACTGACTTGAAGAGGAGTTTAAAGTAGCAAAATTTGAGGTCGTGTGAGATACACTGCGCACAATCAAACTGCAGACAGGCGTTTTAAGTTCAACCTGACAGCTCCTCCATGAGTACGTCACCATACAAGTAAGGTGTCAACTTCCAACCGAAAATTTTCGCGCGTCAGAAATTGAGATTTGCGTATCAGAAGTGCGTTTACACTTAGGTAAGATTGAGCCATCAATACCAGCGACTACGCCATGCTGACTACTGCGCCTTTCGCCATACTCATTGCAAAGGCTCGGCGAAGCCTCGGTCCTTCATTCGAGTCAAACAAATGCTTGAGAATTTGGTGTAAAGGTACTCTTCCCAACATTATAATTTTTTATACATTTTGAAGCAAAAAATACAGGATAAATGTTCTTTTTGAAAAGGCGACTGCTTGCAAGTGTAAAAAATGTCTCATATTTTGATGCTGTATATGTACTAAAAACTTCAGATTCAAAAAACGTAGTATGATTAGAAATGAAAGGTGGTTATAGCTGTGACCAGCCTTGGGAACCCGTTTTTTCAAAATTTTCAATTTTTCTCCAGCCAAAAGCGATGAAATTGGAAGCCGTTTTGGTCAATGATATGAAGTTAGTTTGCACACAGAATAATGGTTTTCCAGACTATTTCGAACAAGAAAGAGCAAATTACAGTGATTTTCAAGGTGGCTTTATAGCTATGGCCAGCACTGTACCAATAATCCCTTTGATACCCTACGATATGCTCTTTGACTTCAAGCGACTACAGATTTCGGTAAGGCCTGCACTCGCTATGACGATCAACAAAGCGCAATGGCAGTTTCTGAAAACAGTGGTAGTGGACTTGAAACCACCCTGTTTCTTGCATGGTCAGTTGTATAGGCCGTCCGCGCAGGGCGTGGAGAGTGCGCAAGGTGTGTATTGCGCGTCACTCCTCTTTCCCCGTGCACTCTCGTCGCCTGTTTTTCTCTGCGCTCAACTATCTTCACTGGACGCAACAGCGTTGCTCTTCGCGCGCAGCGCGGACAGCCTATACGCGGCGTATTAGAGCGTCGGGATAGTGTATTTCAGTGCGCTATCATAGTTGCTTGCTGTAGTATAGCACGGTATTTATCTGTTGCATGCCAAATTGGAAATCTAAAAAAAATTGAAAAGTATAAAATCCAAAACAAATTGGCAAAACAGAAATTCCTAAAGAAAATACTGGCGTAGAGCGGCAGTCGGGGAAGGTGGGTGGGATAAACAAACTAACTAAATAAATACAGTTATGCTATCCTTCTTTACTGATGAGTTCCGGGAAGCCTAGGGCCTATTCAGCCAAACCGTCTAAGGGTAGGAACAAAACAATACAAACTCAAAAACCAAAGTTGTATTCCTCTATCTGAAGGACACGATGTCGTTTTATTTCTGTAACCTAGTTGTGATTGAGCCGAGCGAAGCCGGGTATCCCAGCTAGTCTGCAATAGAACTTGGGCATCCAATTGAGTTTCCTGTTTGAGAAAACTACCTTTATTCTCTAAGTGCCCCATCAATTTTGAATCATCTCACTAGATAAGAATTTAGCTCAACAAGTCGCGCTTAAATATGTGCATTTTGTTCGTTGCCACTGCAATTTATAGTCCTTCCCTAATAAGACACCAAGATCCGACACAAGATGGAAGCCGAGTCAAGAATACAAAAGGCAAACGAAAGAGCCGAGTAACCGAAACTGTTCTCGATTATTCCGCTTCTGACGAAAGCGATCCCGCCGAGATGTTGGCAGTCAACGTGTGATGTCTCGGTCTACACTCAATCTGACGCATCCATTGAGCATCTAATGTCAGGATTGAGAAACTTCCAAAGTTATATGCTATTTCTGCTGATGTTTGAAAGTAATCTTATAAAGCTTGCCTTACTCCATCACAAAGTATTTCACATCTTTTTTATTTTCGCCTATTGCGATAGTGTACTATACCACTCACAGAGCGTGCAGAATTTCTAGAAATGTTCCACAGCATCTTGATGGTAACATAAAATTCCGCTGTTTTCGCAAAATAGTGGCGTTGCGAATTTTGCATGGTTTGCGTTATATCGTGGAATAAACGGAAGCCGTGTGATCAACAAAGTGTCGCCCAATAACCTATAGAACTCGAATACACCTCGCGCGCTTTCTTCGCAATCGCAGCAATACGCGATCTAGCAAATTTTCTGATGTCTGCGAAGGCATCGCGTGTGAAATCCATGTGCATAGGTGCATAGCTTTTGTAAGCTTATGCGCATATGCCAAATCTTGGTTCCAGAGTTTTCGTATACGGATCATTATTTATAAGCAATCGTAGCGATCAGAAAATCCCGTTAGACGAGGTATGACCAATGCCATTTGCTGCCGAGTGCCGCGACGTTTCTGGAAATTTTGCACGTTCTGTGAGCGGTGTTGTGACGCATTCATAACTTTCAAATTGCTACCTCCTGCTTGCGTCTCACTTTCTGTTATCGTAATTTGCTCTATTGCTAAGATTTGCTTTGGAATCCTTTGCAAGAATTTGCACGAATATCTTCTTTCTCTTCTCCTTTTGACGCTTCTTTTCTAAATTTCAATGTCAGAAAAAGAAAGCAAACAATTACCGACGAGTACTATTATTATTTGAGCTGTTTGTATATCTGCAAAAGAGTTTTCAGTGGTTGAATAAAAGAGACTACGTCAAGTCTGGAGCAAGATGGGATGTTCTCAACCTGCCAGTGCTCAAAAAATTACAAATGTCTGAAAGACTTTATCACGACATAAATATTTATGAGAATACTTCACACATAAGTAGTCTGAGCGGTTTTCCTTATGCTGTCACTATTCGACCCATCATCAGTCGTGCCTCTCCGTAATGAATTGGATCTCGAAGACTTCATAGATTTTGGGCTGATTGACCTCGTTGATTTTGGCGGTATGGATGCAGTTTCGCCGTCTCGGTCCAAAAACTGAGGCAATCCACACTCGTCTTCTGTCTGGGTTTCTCCACTGTCAGCGCGTTCTTGCGGAGACCGCGCAACCCTCATTTCGAAGCGGCGGTTCGATGCTTCTCCGTCCTTAATACGAAGTATGACGCACTGCTATATGTTAAGCGCCATTTAGCACTTCAATACACTGGTTTTCTCTGCAATAATGCTTCCGAGAACTCATAACTCGCAACGTGCTGATGAAGTGCGCGTTTTGAAAGTTCAAAAACTCACATATTAGCAGACAGAGACTTCTGACCACGATAAGATATTATGCATCTAATTTGGAGCATAGGAATATTGTGTTGTTTCAAGATGCTTGTCTTTTTCACACCTGTACGTAAAATACTTAGAATGACACTAGATATGCAGTGTCCCAAAGCAACTCTTTTTCTTTTTCTTTGAAGCAGCATGTTTTTAAACTTTTTCTAATATTTGCTCAAGAAAAATTACAATTTGACCCATTTTTTCCTGCCCAAATTGCTGTCCTTCAGACTTATAGGTTTTTTTGACAAAGATAGAGCAAATCTTAGGCCCGTGTGCACGTACATCCCGCGGGAGGGAAGGGGATCTAAGAGGGGATGCGTCATGCTCCACTATTAGGTTGTTGCATAAGTTCTATCCGATTTTTTTTTGCCTCCTGTTTGAAGCGGTTGCTCTAAGAGAATTCCATCTCTAATACGGTAGTTAGTATCATTAGAAAATGTTTTCTTGCGCTTTCTAAGGCATATCAAATTTCAATAAGTTTCTTAGTGTAAGGAGATTTCAGGCCTAAAATCTCCAAGTGGCCGAGGTACGTTCTCACCCTAGAAATATGTTCTTGCGAGGAAATCTCCACAATGCGCCCTCCAAGTCAAGTTCTTTCATTAACTGCGGAATAAGGGTGTAGAAGGCTAATATATGCCTAAGTTCGGTACCATGAAGATAACGTCTTGCTAGTAAAATGTGTCGTCGAACATTAATTTTCTGTATAGATGTTTTACAAGCTATAACTTTCTGCGAATAGAAGTAATCGACGACTTCAAAGTTGCAGGTGCTAGGACAAAGCAAGAGCTAGCACCGTCCATCCACCAATTCCTTTCCGGCGCTCATGTCAATTGTAAAATTTTCATAACTCGTAAATAGGCATGCACACATGCGCTGAAGCGAGGTCAAAAAGTGGCTAATTTTTTGTTCGGTCAAAAAATCTCTCGGCAACGCAGACCCTATAAGCTCTTTTATGTACTATAGTAATCTACGCAAATTTCTCTATCTATCCATTGTTAGACAAGATGCCTATCAACTCTCATAAGGGAGCATTGCCATGTCAAAAAACAATTTTGAACAAAAACGCTGTGAAGTTTTTGAGTTCTTGCTTCTTCCTTAACAAACATTTTCGCAGGTTTCAAAACGTACTGATAGCCAAGGAATTGCTTAACACATAGAAACTAAAACCTTGAAAAAAAGTTGACTTTGAAAGAAGTTATGACATTTTGAACTCAAAAAATTTGAATCGGACAGAACTTATGCAACAACCTAATGCTCTAGATTTTTGTTCTTCTTTCTATATTTTGCCTATGATGGTCCTCATAACTGATACCTGCACATAAAAGATGCCAGGTTACTGCCATACAAGATTAGTTTTTCACTATTCTGTGTGATTTCCAAGGGATCCCTAGGGGATTTCCTTTCTTTTTTGAACTGTACTGAGGGTAGACTACAACTATGCTGAGCATGCTTTCGATAGGAGAAATAGAATATCAAGATTGTGATTTTTCGATAATGTCTAGCTCGCGAACAGTGGTTTATCGAAGATTTCGATATTCTGAGATTCAACTTATTTCTACTATAAACATGTTAAGCAGTACCTTAGTATATCCTCGGTACAATTTTACAGCGTTATCATCGAGTCTACATGAAGCATTGCGGAAAAGCGCAAAGCTCACATTCGGTGACAGCAGTTCTGATTAGTCTAATGCTGGAATTCTCAGGTTTTTTCACTTTGCTTACTAAGCCGAAGTAAGGCCGTTAACGGCTGAAAACAAACTTGAGATTTCCTGGTAATCCTACAGTAGTGGATAGCGATCGGTGATTCGCTCATACAGCAAATCTAATTTTAACCCAGCTCTACAAAAAAGTACCTAAAGCTTCCCCAAACATTTATAACAAGAGGGTTTTGAGCGATCAAAAAGTAGGCACATTTTCCGGGACACCTTGTCCTTGCAGTATATCTAACGTAAGGAAAGTGCAAATGAAAATGGAACAACTGGTGTCGCGGAGAATCTAAAGAAAGCTGGAGAAAAAATTACAGATTGTGCCGCGGAAAAGCGGCAGAGAAAAATCTCCGTCTGGCGGTTTGCTCGAGCGCCGCCTCTTCTTTGAAATTCGAGTCAACCCTGTTATTCACTTCGTTAAAGTTAACATGTTATTGACTTTGGTAGTGTCGCTGCGTGGTCATATATTACCATGATTTTGCTTCCAAATTTGCCTGTTACCGGACTACACCTGTTCCATTCATATTTGACGGATCTGAGAGGTACGTCTGGAAAGTCTTGATAAAATTAATACAACTTTCTTACTCACTCTCTTTTCTTGCGGCTTCCCCTCTATATGTGTGGAGCTATCCGCAGACTCATTCGTTCTCACAGTTTACATTGTGATCCGATTGATGCTTCAAGGAAAAGCACACATAATCACCTCAAAGCGTTTGCATATTGGCTTGTGAGAAATTTTCTAATATAAAGAAAGGTCTCAAATCTTGGGACCAGATACTTTTCATGACTTCAAAGCAGAAGGCTCTACTATGCTTTGCAGCCTTGTAACAATCTTATACTCGTAATCTATCTTATTTGTCCTGAAATCAGGACAGAGCAAGTTACATAATGGGAACCCTTTGAGGCTAAGTATTCAACAAATCTTTTTTTATGAAGATCTTGTGATAATCTCAAATCAAGAAGCAATTATACAACAGGAATTTTTTTAGAAAGACTCCGGAAGCAAACTATGTTCTCACTGGCAGCATAATCGGAGGCCGTTGTGGATAAGTTTGTAAAAAAATCTTTTCCATGAAAATTTCGTGGAAATCTCAAATTTGAAAAGCATCTATGCTGCAAAAAATGCACTTCTTTCCAGATAGAAAACCTTATAAGCAAACTGTGGTCTCGCTGGTATGAGGGTCAAAGCTTTTGAGGGCGAAGAATTTTCTTGAAAGCGAATCATTATCTTTTATGGGAATTTCGTGAAAATCTCACAGTTGTAGAAGCGTCCATATTACAAGAAATGCCTTTATTTTTGAAAAGAAGATTCTGTAAACAAACTATATTCTCGCTGGTGGTATAATCGGAACTTTTTGAGAATAAGTATTAAAAAAAACTTTCTATGAAGATTTTGTGATAATCTCACGGATGCATTTAAACCAGGGCCCGGCACGAGGTTGTCAAAAGGGGTTTTTGAAAAGAATTCCTCTTTGACCCCAAAATTTTTTACGAATACCTTTTTAAATTAGAAAGTGGTCCCAGTGATTGCAAGTGAACACCCTACCAAAATACAGAATTTTTATTTAAAAAATATCAAGAAAGTTTGTTCTCTCATCTATTCTCCAAACGTCTTCAGCCAAGATTTACCGTCGTGATTTTCTTATGGAATCGAGGCATCAGCGCCATCTGCCACCACAAACAGACGCAAGACATTCGGTGGCAGTACTGTTATCTCAAATGAAAAAAGTTTCTCATAAAATTGAGGAACCGCGACAACCAAGCAAAAAATGATCGATGCCAAAAAACAGACTGTACTCAAGATAACTGAGCCTAAAAATAGAAAAAGCGATCAAAGGATGCTTTATCGAAAGAGAAGAGCAAAATATATGTTGTCTAAAAAGAGGATCTTCTGCTGCGCATGAGAAGCAAATGAAAGTGAAAGGAGTTGGCAGTTTTGGCTGCAGAGCGCGCGAATCAGAGAGCAAATGAGAATGGGCGAAACACGAGAAAGAAAAACTAAAACAAAAGGATAAGTGAGAGGAATGAAGATAGTTTGAGCAACGCCGGTTATCGTGGTGAAGGACGCCGTTCTAACGCATATCGATTGGAGCGCGCTTTCCTCCTTAGGAAACGGGGCTGCTGAAGCTAATTTCGACTCTAGAAATGAGGAAATTAGGAGGTTTGAAATCAAGATTTCAAAATATACTAACCTTTGAGTGTAGAGTAGATTTATGTAAAAATTTTGAAAAAATTATGCGAATCGAAGGTTTTGACAACCTCAGGTTGTCGTTAGTTGTCAAATGGCAACCTAATTTGGATATAAGTTGGACACGCTCTTCATTTACATTAGTTTTTCATAATTTTTCATACTTTGTTACTTGGTCCTACTGCGCATATACACACCAAATCCCGCGCAATTTCGTCACCTCTGCGTTGCAAACGAGCCATTTTTCCATTTTTTTGGTAGCCGGAATTTTTCAGAAAAAAGTTTGCCACAACCCACATAATTTTTCAATGAAACTCCTAAGTTAACTCCTACAATTGTGTCTACGTACGTATCACGTTTCAAACCATATCGTCATCTGCGCGCTGCAAATTCTTTTGAATTCACATTTTCATTTACCAACTTTGCAAAATTTTCGGAGAAAATGCTCATTACGCGTTCCGTTTACAAAATTTTCTCATAATTTTTCATGCCTTGTTTCCACTAGCCTCTCCCTGTTCATTTACAAAATTTGGTGCCATATCGTTACGCATACATTGAGAACTAGTCATGTATGCTGTTATAAATAGCATCGCTTGAGCGACGTCGCGCGTGCGGCAATTAGCGACGGCGCGGTTTGACACACGCGGAAAGCGGAAACTATCATTTTTCTCCGGATCTCCGCCCGGACCCCGCAAAACCGATTTCCCCTTTGCTTTTTTGCCGAAAACGATTTCCAGCTTGTCATAAACTCGAGCCGGGCCCTGACTTATACTGCAGAAGATGCACTCTTTTCAATAAGAAAACTTTGCATACAAACTGTAGTCTCGCTGGTAGTGTGATCGGAATTTTCGAGGCTTATTATTTTTAAAAAAATTTTTTTCTTTGATTATTTTGTTATAATCTTAAAGGCACCGTCCACCCTGATTTTC